CGGGCTGGGCGCGCTGCAAGGGGACAAGGGCAGGCAGAGGGTGCGGGGCGCTGCTGTTGCTGCAGCGTCTTCCTAGCACATCCCCATTGCACCGTGGCCCCCCAGCAGCAGCCACCGTCGCCTGCGCCCGCCCCTGACATGAAGCGTTACCTGTGGGCACGCTACAAGGAGGCCAAGAAAGTGACCAAGGGTGAGTGCCACGCAGAGCCCCCCCGGGCCTGGGGCTTCCGCCAGCGCCGCATCGGTGTCTTGCTGGAGCCGGAGAGCACCTCCTTCCCTCGGGCACGTGGGCAGCAGCTGCAGCGATTCAGGCGCTTAGTCTCTTGCCAAAGTGTCTTCCAGGCTCCAGCATCCGCCTCTAGAGTGAAGGGGGTAACTAGACGGGGAGGACTTTATTAACCCGTGTAGTGCACCGCCCCCGTTATTAATGCCCTTGGAGAGCCGGAAGGACCTTGGGTCCTTATACAAAAGCTTTCCCCAAATCTCCACCTGCAGCAAAACTGCCTGGAGCTGGGTGCCAACCTGTAAAGTCTGAATGCCTGGGTCAGTGGCAGCAGCCTTTCAGTATAGAGCTGGCTGCTTCAGGAGTAGATGCCTACATTTTCCATTTAAGGTAAGGATGCCAATTGTGAAGTGGATGCTACCCCAATAGGAAACAGATCGAGGCAATTAAGTGCTTCTCTAAAGTGTTCCTAAAGTACCCATTGTTGTGTTATCAAAAGACCAGAAGTAGCATTTCCTGCTTTCAGGAGCGTGTTTATGCTGAAATCCAGTGTGGTTTCCATCTGCAGATTTTAAGGCCAGAAAGCACTGTTAAGATCCTATAATCTAGCCTTCTGCATGGCACAGGCACAAATATTTCACTCAAAATAAAATGTGTTTTGTCACTCCCTAGAGATGCTTGCACTAGCTGGAATTACGTTTGCTAGATAAGATGGAATTAAATTAAAGTTTCCAGAGGATAGTGGGTTTAGGTGGCAAATTGAGGGTAAACTGAGTCCGTGTATCAAACGTACCTATTAAAATGCATTTTAATATTTTTACAATTTGGCAATGCTGCTTTTGGTGTCTTTATGGTTGCCAAATGGTGCCTACACCATGGTGATTGTAACTAGTTGCAGATGGCTAAAATATGAATCTGCATGGTGATGTGATCAGTATTATGAAGCTCCTCAAATACAGTATTTTTAGTACCAATGTGATTTATGTGGATAGCTTTGTCTTCATGAAAACTACAGTAGCCTCTTTTCACACTCATCCATTAAGATATGGCTGACTTTTACAGTCTTATCAGAGATAAGAAACTAAATTAAAACTGATAAGCGTGTGAAGACCGAACTGTGAACAAAGGTTGGAATCCTATGATAAGGGCAGCATCTGTATTTTTCAGACCATACATACTGAAGCAATTGAGAACCATTCTGATTACATTTTGGAGCTAAAGTTATTACTTTAAATGTTTAAAACCGTTTTGAAAGAAAACATTTCACTATGAGGACAGCACAGAGTTGGTAAAACTTTCTTTATATATTTTGTTTTTGAAATCTGTTCCATTGTTGCACTTGACTTGATTTTTGCACAACTCTTCGGTTTTCTTATTTAATGTGTATGTGATCTTTTTGTTTGAGGCTCCTTCTGCAAAGGCTCCAAGAGTGTAGAATAAAGTGACCTTTTAATTGGTTCTATTTTGGCTATACATCCAATTAATTACTATTTAACTCTGAAACTGCGGGTGAGGAATGTCCCCGCTTCAGGTAAATAACTCTGAGGTATTGGAGCAAGGAATCAAAAGTTGATGGTAAGTAGGTTTGTGCAGAGAAACTTCAGTCAGTTTTTGTAACTTCATTGGGTAGGTCACTTAGGGCACATCTACACTAAGGATGTTAAGTAACGGTTAATTTACTAGTTGAGTAGCCAATGGAATTTCCATTGACTAGTCGATAGGCACTTCAGCATTCCTCTTTTAAAATGTACAACAGCACCCGCTGGGACTCTTGTACATTTCAAAGGAAGAATGCGGAACTCCATGTGCAGCCCAGGGGCAACAGGAAGGCCTGCTGACTCTGGGCTGCACTGGTGTGCTAGCTTTGAAATGTACACAAGTCCCCAGCGGGGGCTCTTGCTCATTTCAAAGCGGCAGGGCAGCATGTAGCCTGGGGTCAGCATGGGACTCAGAGTCCCCTGCTGACGCTGGGCCCCATGCCATGCTGCCGATTTGAAATGCTATGTAGAGCTGGGGTCAACTGGGGACGCCTCAGCTGACCGTGATTCTGCGTGGCATTTCCCCAGAACCCTGGGTCAGCTGGGGAATCCCCTGCTGATCCAGGGCTCCACGTGCAGCAGTGCTGCACTGCTGATTCCTGGCTCAGTTGTGTGGTACTGCCCCTTTGAAGTACACCTTCTTGTCCCTCCTTTGTTGCCTCTTTCTGATAGAGGCGGCGGGGGGAAGTCGACTAGTCCTTAACATCCCTAATCTACACTTGCCACACCGGGGATGGATGTTCTGGTGTTCGATTCAGTGGGTTCAATTTAGACCCATAAGTCGAACTCTGAGGGAAGCTCCAGCTGGTGCCTGTCATCCCTGCACTTGGAAGGAATAAGAGAAACTCAAGGGAGCATTTGCTTCCACTGGCCTCCCACTGTGTGGATACTTCCAAGTTTGGCTTAAGGTAGCTCCAGCTACATATTCTGCATAGCTGGAATTGCTTACCTTAAGCCAGTTGTTTCCAGCCGTCTTAAGCATGAGATCACTTTTTGAATTTAAGTACAATTCAGCATCTACCTCAAACCCTTTTGCCGCCCCCCTCTTCCCACTAAGCACCCATGCCCCTGGCAGGGCAGGAAGAGGCTTTGCATGCACCCCCATCTCCAGGCCAGTTAGAGCCAAAGGGTGGGGGAAGTGCACAAAATTTCCTCTGCCCTGCCAGGAGGAAGTTTCCTCTGCCCCAGGCCCATCAGAGCTTGGGGACAGAGAAATGTGCGAAGCCTCCTCCTGCCCTGCGAGGAGTGCGTGGCACTTTGAAGTGCTGAGTGCTCCTCGTGGGGAGGGTAGGGGGGAGGAAACTTTGTGTGCTCCTCCCGCCCCCAGGACAGTCAGGGCTTGGGGGTGAAGGGAGTGCATGAAGTCTCCTCCCGCCCTGCCAGGAGCATGCAGCACTGCATGGTGCTATGTGCCCCTGGCAGAGCAGAGGAAACTTCGTGCACTCCTAATTGGTTGGGGGAGCAGTAGGGCCTCCATGGGCTGAATCCATCTACTTGGCAGGCCGGATCCAGCCCATGGAGGCCCTTTTGCCCACCCCTGCCCTAGACTCAGTGCTTGCTGCTGGCTGCGTCAACGATTTCCCCTAAAATACTTAATTAGCTCTTGGGGGGGGGGGGGAGTCAATATGCACATGTATGCTCCTAAGCACTTTCTTGGGGGAGCAGTAGGGCCTCCATGGGCTGAATCCATCTACTTGGCAGGCCGGATCCAGCCCATGGAGGCCCTTTTGCCCACCCCTGCCCTAGACTCAGTGCTTGCTGCTGGCTGCGTCAACGATTTCCCCTAAAATACTTAATTAGCTCTTGGGGGGGGGGGGGAGTCAATATGCACATGTATGCTCCTAAGCACTTTCTGTTCCTGCCCCAGGGAAGGTGGGTCTAGAACTCATTGGCTGCTTGTGGAGTCCCAGGCTCCCTATGTCCCTGTTGGGTGGAAGTTGGGGAGCTGCCCGGGGGAGTGCACCAGTCATTGAACTCTGCAGCTGCCTTCACTGACGAGCTCTCTCTGGTACTGCACACACTGTCCCCACGTGTCTCCAGAGACGCTGCCCAGAGCTCCCAAGGATGATGTGCAGTGTAAGGGCCCACGAATGCAAACACCAAAGCAACACGTCTCTCTGCCCTTGGTAACAGCTGTTCAGGAGCACCAGTTCTGTTCCGCTTCCTAGGAGAGAAGACTGAGGATAAGGGATGCTGTTCCCCCTGCACTATCAACATACACAGTTTGGCAGGGAGATGCCCTCTCCCATGATGCCCCTGCAGTCTCCTCCCATGTTGTGGCCACAGCCAAATCTGCTGCTGCTGCATGTGGCTGCATTTGAGAAATGCTGACTTACAGTACATCTACTTGGCAATAAAAAACATGTGGCACAGGGCTGAGGTTGCAGGACAATGAAACTGGAGCGTGGATATAAGCCTGGGCTCTCATCTCTTGTGGAGTCTCAGAGACTGGGCCCCAATATCTACACTGCAATTGTATAGTCCTGCAAGCACTAGCCATGGTTGTGCTATGTTTGTTTTTTTAAATTGTAGTATAGATCTATCCTTAGCCTCTCTGTGCCTCAGTTCTCTATCTGTAAAATGGGGATAATACTCTTCCACAGAATGCCTGTGTGAGGTAGGGAAATACTTTAAAGACTATGGAGTCCATTGATCTCTACTGATGAGAAGACATGGGTAAGAGTTCTGAATTTACTTACCTGGCTAAGTTGCTAGTTGAGAGTTTAAAGATCAAATGACCTCAATCACCTAGGTATATCTTCATTATATAAAAAAGCATGTTTTCAGAAGTATCTTTCATTTATAAACAGTTGGTAGTGGCCAGTGTTCCCTTTAATTTTTTCCATCCATGTGCATAATAAATTTTATGTGCATGGAGGCATGCACAGATGTACACCATCAGTAGAAACACTTGTTGCTGGCTGTGGGTGCTCTGCTAATCAGCTGGACGGCGTATGAATCTGCCCTGAGTGGCTGCCCAAGTGCTCAGCTTAGAGGGAACACCCGTAATGACTGAAAGTTGTTACTGTCTCATGGTTATTTGGCCTATGTGACATTATTTTGGTGGGCTCAGTCCATTTCCCTCCATGCACATTATCTTTGGGGTGGGGGTCGGGGAAGCAGTACTGAAGCGCATGTCTGCAGCTTCATTAGATAGACAAAGGATTGAAGGGAGTCTAGTAACCGAACTAGTGCAACCCACATGCTTACTGGGCGTGGTTCAGGGTCCCAGCTAGTGGTACTTTACCTCTGAAAAGTCTAAGGCCGAAGGGGGGAGGAGGGGCTTTTTTGGTTTGAGGGCCACTGACCCACAGAAAAATCAGCTGGGGGTCACACAAGTGAGAAGCAAAAAAACCCAAACAAACCCTCACTGAGGTGGCACGTGACTGAGAAGGAGAAAGACACTCCACACATTTCCCCTCACACCCCAGAGTCTAGGGCTGCCCAGCTTAGATTTTGTGTGTTTTAGCCCTGTGGCAGGGCAGCAGGGGGACTGGAACACCAGTGCTGGCTCCCTAATGCTGGCAGGAAGGGGACTCTGAGCCTCAGGGGATAGATCCAGGCAAGCCCAGGGCTACATCTGCCCCCTGGGCCTGAGGTTGCCCACCTCTGCTATAGAGCAAACTTTCTGAGAGCCAGCTGGTTTTTAGCTCCACCTGTAGAGGTTCATACACTAAGACTAAGCTCAGGAGGTCCCTAGTGTAATGCAGGCATACTGAGATAAAAGATGTAGGAAAGCTTGCCCTGGGCTGCCTATGGTATAATTCTAGATACTACTTTAGTCTCTTCAATGTATCATTGCAGGCACTTTTGCCATGTGAGAGAGAGTTCAAAGGATAATACAATTTTTTTGTGGGGAGAGGGGAAAATGTAGAGGTCATGCAAACATACCTTCCACAGTTCTGGATCTTTTCTCTCTGCTCCTTGGCACTCTGTATCCATATTGTTTGCAAACACCACCCAAAATATTTTTAGAGGCAGTGTCTCTCAGTGCTGCTGAGGAGGTGTGTCCTACCTTAGGGAAAGGTGGTCTGTAGGAATATAGAAGCAGAGGGAAAGTATTTTCAGGATCATTTGGGAATTCAGATTGTTCTAGGCTATCTGACATTTAGTTTTTATTTCACTGTTAAGTCAGGACCGATTAGTCATCTTACATGAAGTCATTTTGGATTAAGAAATACGTGGTTTATGGTATATGCTAGCCAGAGAAAGTAGTCAATACCTGTTTTCAGAACTTGTTTATAAGAGTGCTGTTTACAGCTTTCCGCAGCCATGAATTATCTATAAAATAAATTCTGAGCAAAAATATTGAGGAAAATCAGAAATAACTGGCGTGTTGCATACATTGTTGCTGAAAGAAAGCAAGGTGTTTCGCACCCTGGAGCTGGAAAATTGGGGATTAATGGCACAATCAATATTTTACTTTGCTGTTATTTGGGAAGAATAACTATATTTGTCTGAGCTGGAATTAAATGGTGCAAGTATTCTGGTAAGAGGGAAAAAATACACAGTCATTTCTGAAGCCTAATACAGAGTTTCAGACTAGACAATTACTTGTGGTGGTTTATCAATTCCCCACTTAAGTAACCCTGTTTGATTTTATGCTGGTGGCTTTTTTTTTTCATTTCTATTTCTTCACATACGTAATGTGCTTAAAAGTTGAAATGGTTAATGCACAGCCTACGAACTCATTACTAATAATA